CAAATTTTTTGTGTGCACAATTTTGATATTTTTAGTATTACATCTTCGACCAAAATAAATTTCATTTTTATTATTGTACAACCATTATTTATTTGCCTTCTATTTTAAAATATAAATTTTTGTAAAGAAAATGTTAGGTTATCTAAATCTGTAACAAGATACACATAAACATTTTATCTCCTACACTTAAGTAAGTTATTTCTCAGTATCACAAAAACATAATTAAACATGAAAATAAATATAATAAACGTCTAATACAACTAATAAGAACAAAATTACAAGAAAAAAATTAATAAAAATTTTTTACGTATAATTATTTGAATTAGTAACATGAACTGAGGGGCCGGATGTATCAACTGCCGCTACGCGCCATCGTAAAGGACTTTACCAGTCAGTGAGCAGTGAGAGGCCCAGAGGCGCTCACTGCTCACTGACTGGTATAGTCCTTTACGATGGCGCGTAGCGGCAGTTGATACATCCGGCCCCTCAACTTTTCTAATTATTTGATTGGCTGAATTGTTTTGAAAAAATATCGAGGATTTTAATATAACTTTGAAAAAACACTAATAGTTTCATGAACGTTTAATAAAAAAATAAATAAATATTACTTAAGTGCCTTCCGTTGATAAATTTTCCATTCAGCGTTTCCTTTTTTTCGCTTTTTTTTGTTTTCTTTGATTTTCTTTCATTTTGTCACTTTTTATTATATTTTTAATTACTTCGTGATAAATAACATGAAACATATAAATGCGAAACTTCAGATTGATTAGAAAACGATTGATTTGACCAAGCGACATATTTGACGAGCGACAATTTGAATATTTACGTAAAAAAATATTATAATAAATAAAAACATATGCACAGTTTTAAATATATCTAAAGTAATATGTACCCTAATTTTGAAGCAAATTAAATAAGAAACTGGAGAAATTATAGATTTGACCAGTGACATATTTTTCGTACTACACCAGTATCACAAGTATCCAACAATTATTTTGCTTAAAATATAGTTGAAAATAAAATAAATCACGCACATAACATTTGAATTACAATTAAATTGTGCCTTTTATTTCAAATTTTTTCATTTAGTTTTTTAATGTTTATTTTATAAAACCATTTTGATTTGACCAGCGACACAAAAACTGAGGGACACTTTTTAGAAGATTATATCTTTTATAATTTTTACTTTTTATTTTTTTTAAGTTTGTTATGGAATTCTTAAGATATTTTTAAATAGTTTATAACAGTAAAAAAACTTGTTTTCCAAAAAAATCTTATTTAAACAGTTAAAATAGTTATAGAAAAAGTGAAAGTAACACTTGCAAAATCATGGTATTGTGAACTTTAATAAAGAAAAACATAGAAAAAATGAACAAAATAATTTATATCAATGGTTAAATCGTAATCCTTATTTTCTTTTTAAAAAAATGTTAATATTTAAAAATCATTAGTTTTTATATTTAGGCTGTTTAAGTTAAAAAATAATGTGAGGGACATAAAGGTTAAAAGTTCCAGAGATTCGCCCATATAAATAAGTACTTTACACACAGTAATTTATTAATTCATTTATTCTCTTTGTAAAATTTCTTTTTTAATTTACAAATGAAACAGCCATATTTATATATTTCTTCATGATGTATCATTTAGTATCATCTGAAAAATAAATAACGATATTATTATAATGTATGATGAACCATTTCAATATCTAACAATATTGTAAAATTTGTATTTTTATTATTCATGCGTTTTAAACATAAATTATATTTTTTGTTAAATAACATAGGCACACAAAAAATAAAAGTCATCTGTTTCTTGAACCAGTCCTACATGTCTTATAATATTTTTGCCTGCTGAGAACGAATATAAACTCAAAATTGCTCTATCATCCTTTGTTTTTTTAATCGAAAAAAAACTATCCTTAAATGTACAAATTAAAAGTTTAAAGTAAAAAAAAATAAATAACAGATTATGTTGTAAAACAGAACTACAAATTTATGAATTTTTTTTACAACAACTCAGAAACAATGTCAAAATTAAAATATTAACCTTTTTTTTTTAAACCAAGAATTACGCTTAAATGTATAAATTCAAATTTTTTAGTAAAAGAATGAAACAATAGTTTTTTTCTTTAAAACTGAACAATACATTAATGTACTTTTTTACAACAACTCAAAAAAACTGCAATTTTTGTTTAAATAAAAGAAAACTACCCTTAAGAGGATAAACTCAAACTTGGCAGGAAAAAAATTTAAAAAATAATAACTTTTTAAATGGAACCATACTTTATGTATTTTTATTTTCATAACTCAAAAAATCAAATTTTTTATATAAAAAACTACCTTAAAAAAGAAGAACCCAGAGTTAACCAGAAGAAAATAAAAGAAAATATTTTTTTAAACAGAAACTTGCGATTCTACATTTTTGTTCTCACAACTAAAAAGCAGCGACGGAATTAAATCATCACCCTTTAATTTTTTTAAATCGAAAAAACTGCTTTTACATATAGATAAACTTAAACTTAAAAGAAAAGCAATTTTAAAGTAAGTTTTTTAAAAAAACTATTAAAACCATTAAAAACCATATATTTCTGTGTATTATTTCCAACTCAACACTCACCAATTAATTTTTTTTTCTTTTATGTGTATTTGTTTCTATCCTTTAAAATAAAATAAAGTTTATAAACAATTTTTTTTTTAATTTCCGTTTGAAAAATCGAAATTTCACAACTTTAAAGGTAGTTTTTATTTCTTTCCTGTTAAGCATGGTTAATTTTAACAAAAACATGAGGTGATGTTTTAATTCTGACATTGTTTTTGAGCCGATGAATAGAAGTATATAAATTTATTGTTCTGTTTTAAAGTAAAAAATAAATAAATAACAGATTATGTTGAAAAACAGCACAATAAATGTATATGTCGTAGCCACATTGTGAAAAACCGCACTTCATGAAACGTCTAGGCATTTCATGAAGTGCGGTTTTTCACAATGTGGCTATGACATATATACTTCTGTTACAATAACTCAGAAACAATGTTAGAATTGCTCCATCACTCTTTGCTTTTTTAATGGAAAAAATCACCCTTAAACGTGGAATTTCAAACTTTAAAGAAAAAAATTAAATAAGAGTTTGTTTTTTAACCTCCCTACGGTTTAACCCGAATATAGTTAGGGTGTATCTTTAATTTATTTATTTAAAAAAATTTAATTCGAGAGTCATATAAATAAAACTCGCAGTGTAACTTGAAGCTAAATAAAATAATTATAAATTTATTTCCTGCAAAATTGAAAAATCATAAAATCGTAGGAGGGTTAAATTTTGAATTTGTACATTTAAGAGTAGGGTAAGAATTCCTGAAGTGGCCCCCAATTTTCTTTAGGGTAAGGAACGTAAATGATACCTAGTGTTTTTCATAGTCCATGACGGCACTAAGAAACCCCTAAAACGATTTTTCAAAATTTTAATTTTTTTAAAAGTTATAAACAATTAAAGTTTTTTGCACTTTTTTTTAAAAATTGAATATCTTGAAAAGTTCTGGACCGATTTCAATAAAATTTATATTTTCAGAAAGCTTAGGAAACGTACTTTCCATAAATATATGAAATATAAATAAAAAGTGTAATTTGTTTAAACAAATTATATTTTTTATTGTTAATTTTATAAATAAACAATGTTCTCGGTCGATTTTACCAATTTTTTTTATAGAATCATGAAGAGGGACTTTTCATGATTGTAAAGCAAAAATAAAAAATTAGGATTCTCTAAAAGTTTAGAAGATTCAGTATTTTTAGTCCCGCCGCGCGCGAGCCGTCCGAGTTGATCACGCTCTCAGCGCAGCGCGTCTCTCGCGCCTACAGACTACCCCAACCCAAGAAAAATTTCTAACTACAATAGTTAATTAAAAAATTAGTTACTTATTTTATAATACGTATATTATTATAATTTTTATAATAATAATAATAATAATAATAATAATAATAATAATAATAATAATAATAATAATAAATATTATTATTATTATTATTATTATTATTATTATTATTATTATTATTATTTATTAATTAATAATTCTGCATTACAAAATAAAAAAGTCTATAACCCTAAAGCAAATGTTAGTTATAGACTTTTTTATTTGTAAAGTTGAATTGTAAGTCTATCTATTGTATTCATAAATAGTATTAGTTTATGTTTTTAAGGGCATGTGGAATCAGCAGTTTTCCTGTGGTCAGTTTACCGGTATGCAGTTTAACTTGGACGGTTTTTAAATTTATTTTAATGATTTTATTTTTTAAATCTGCTTGTATACAGTTTTCCCTTGTGCACTTGAACGTGTGCAGTTCTCCTGTATACATTTGAATTTTGGGCAATCGATACCGCCCCAATAAATTTATATTTTGCTATTTAAACATTCATTTTTTTCAATGACAATTTTTATTCGATTGTCTTTTCTTTTCGAAAACTATCAAAAAAATGAAACTTTGAATAAAAAAATATAAATTTATTCATTTTTTTAAATGTTAATTTGTGTTCTTTTTTTTTCTCGAAAAATATCAAACTTTTTATTCAATGAAAAATAATACCTATTTAAAAACAAATTTTTGTATTAATTGGACTAGAGATCCAAGTCTCAATAAATAAAATATTATTTTTCTTATATTTTGTCAAGATTTATTTAATATTTTTTAAGAAAACCGGTGGGAATATTATTACATGTATTAATTGAAGTTGGCTGATTTCACATGCCCTTAAAAACATAAACTAATACTATTTATGATGTGACGTAGGATTTAAACTAATTAGAATTTAGTTTAATAGTTTCTGCTTTACGTCAAGCAAAATCCGACGCTTTCAACAAAATAATAATTTGAAATTTAAGTTAATAAATCTCGCCGTCAGGCGCCAATTAATTTTAAAGATAATTAATAAACTTCTACTCGGCTCGGCTACCAACAAAATTCAACTCCTCTAAACTTACTCTCTCACTCAGAGGAAATTCTGCTCGAACGATTGGCAAGCAGAAAATGCCAACGGCGAGACACGACTGGCACAATATCGGCAAAACGACTTACCCACGATGATCACTCTCTGGCTTCCTTGTGTCCCCGTGATTCGGCTTATCGGCGATTATCTCCTCGGAGAGTCGGCTTAATCCAGAATTTAGGAGGAGAAAGGGGAAGTCAGAAATCCACACACACAACAATCCAAATTACTCACAATTTATTGTTTTAATAGTTTTGAGCTTCACGCTCCACCTCTCAACACTAGACACTATTCGGCAACTCAAAAAAAGAACTCCAACAACTAACTCAACTACAACAAAAATGAAAATTAAATTGTAACGACGGACTATAGTACCGGCGAAAAAGTATCAATTTTCGTAATGGCGGTGAAAGTACAGGACACCTGTCGCGTCTTGGCTTTTTCGCTGCACGTGGCTCGTCTTCTTCCTCTTGTGTTCTAAAAATAGTACTGGCCCCGCCATCTATCACTTTCTCCGGCGGCTGGCCGCGCGACCCACTTCCGCTACTACTAGTAGGTCAGCCGGCGGCCTTTACTCTTCCTAATTACCATTGAACGCTGATGTTAGTTCGGGGTTTTTCCGACGGATGACACGACGATTCAGAATTTTCGACAATTTAATGACACAACGAAAATTCACTTCGTCACAATCCCCTCCCCATGACCGGTACTATTTCATATAGGACCGTCATCATATGATGATCTCGAAGACTGGCCTTATAAATTTGTCCGGCTCTATATTAGTTTGTTCAGTTCTTATCTTCTCTCGTTCGGCTCTCCTCCTTCCTTCTCGTTTGGCTCTACTCCTTCCTTCTCGTTCGGCTCTTCTCCTTTCTCTAGTTCGGCTTTACTCCTTTCTTTAGTTCGGCTCTACTCCTTTCTTCTCGTTCGGCTTTACTCCTTTCTTTAGTTCGGCTCTTCTCTTTTCTACTATTCTTTCGGTTTCTTCCTCTGTTTTCGCTCTTCCAATAATTGACGGATTGCCAGGTCTAGTGTTGAAACTGGCAACCCTTCAAAGATTTTAGTGAGCTTGATAATCTTCTCTACTAAGTCATCGTCTTCTTCTTCTTCGTTCGTTTCTACCCTCTCAGTGCACTTCTTTGGCCCGGATGACTCCTCTGCAGTTTCACCTGTCTCTTCGTTCATTGTTGGGGTCTCCGTCGATGCCCTCGTCTCGTCTTGAGTTTCCTCTGTGCTAGACAACACTTCCTCCGTGTTTGACATTACTTCCTCCAATGTTGACACTGCTTCCTCCATGTTTGACACTGCTTCCTCCGTCTCGCACTCCTCCGTTTCCACAGAGACGAGGTGGATTTTTCCAGTGAAACTAAGGTATGCTTTTGCACATCTTGGGCATTTCATAACTAGGACATTTCGTCGACCGCAATTTTGGCAGTACTGATGTAGGATCGGGTACCCACAATCAGTAGCCCGGTGGCCTCTCCTCCAGCAATTGAAGCAACAGTACGGTGGAGGGTCCAGACCTTCCACCGTAGGAATCGCTTCTAGCCCTCCGAATATTATCCCTCTTAGGCGTGGCTTATAGGATGTTTCGGCAGTTCTGGTTTTTGATTCGGCTGGGGCTATTCCTTTGGACATTGTTCTTCGTTCTTCATTCGGCTTGTTCGGTGGCCCGGGGTGAGGCGAGTGAGAACGTCTTTGTCTAGGGGTTGGCTCCTGGCTCTCCAAATCTTCTACGCACAGTATCCTGCCCTTCCTCTTCTGCATTTCACGGCGTTGTTTTGCTCTAATTTTCTCCAGGGCTACCGACGTTAGGGGCTCTTGCAGGCGTAAGAACTTATCAAGTTCGTATTCGGCTAATCGGCTCTCGTAAGATTCCTCGCTCTCGTTTGGTCCACGGTCGGCTGGCCAGCGATAGGGTACTACGACTTCGGCTCCATCTGGCCGTATGTTGGCTTTCGGGGTTTTTCGAATCTCCTCTAGGACACTTAGGTCTTCCCAGTCCTCTGGATTCAGTATTGGCTCGATTGCTCCACCAACGGCACCTTCCTCTTCTTCAGTGACGTTTTCGGTTTCTTCAACTGGTCTTCTTGTCTCTTCTTCCGGTAACGTACGACGAACTCTTAATGGGTCTTGGAGAACTCTCTCCGTGATTGGGAAAGATAGGTATGAGGGGGCCTCAGTTTCGACATCTCCTAATCCGAATTCAGGGAATGGACGGTGCCTCGGTTGGGGTTGCCCTCTCCCTTCCATCCGGTGTCTCTCCCTTCCTGGAGTTCTCGGTTGACGCCCACCTCTACTTCTACTTCCAATTCTAGGGTAAGGCATGGCTCTTCGTTCTTTCTCTCTCCTGACTCGTTCTTTCGGCTCCACTACTCTCCTTCGATCTGTAATAATTGGGTTATTTTACCAAGGGGAACATGGTAATTTACAAGTTTGAAACAGGTAAGTAAGGTTTCAGGTCTGTAATATGGACTTTGGGGACTCTTCGGCTTTGTTTATCTCGTAAAATGAACACAGTTGGCGACCGGACCTCGACGATCTCAAAAGGACCTTCGTATTTCGGTGCTAGTTTCGTCGCGAACTTTTGTGCCCCACTGGACAGTTTATGGCTTTTTCGCAACACTAAATCCCCAACTTTGAAAGTTACGTCTTTCCTACCTTTATCATAATACTTGGTTTGCCTCGCCCGTTCTTTATCAACGTGTCTGGCCACCATGTCTCTCAGCGCGTCTAATCTCTTAATTCGGTCTACCCAATCTTCTGGCTCTATTCTAATTACTCCTCTCTTGTTCTCTATTTCTCTTCGCAGGCTCTTCACTGGCTTCGGATGTCTTCCATAGTTCAGAAACGCTGGAGATGTTTTCGTTGCCGCTTGGGTTGCTGTGTTCACGGCGTGGCGGAACTCGTGAACATGCATGTCCCAGTTCCTATGATCAACACCAATGAAAGTGGAGATCATCGTTTTGAGAGTCCTGTTACTTCTTTCGACTGGGTTGGCTTGTGGGTGATAAGGTGGTGTCGTGATGTGTTTGACTCCATATTCCTCAAGTACTGACTTGAGGAATTTGTTGTCAAACTCCTTACCGTTGTCGGTCAATAAGTACTCCGGCGTTTCCCATCTGAATAGGACCAACTCCTCGAATGCTCTGGCTACCGACTTCCCATCGGCTGACCTCAGTGGCTTCAACTCTATCCACCTCGAGAACAAGTCCTGGAACACCACCAAGTACTTACAATGACTCTTACTTGGTGGAAACTCCATTGTATCTGCGGCTACTACGGCCCAGGGCCTCTCGACAATTCTTTGGCCCATCAGTCCGACTGGTCCGGCTTGAGATACTTTATGTATTTGGCATTGAAGACAGTGTGTCACATAATTGTGCACATCGTTCCAAATACCTGGCCAGTAGTACTCTCGTGCTATCCGATCATAAGTTTTCTCAATCCCCAAGTGTCCGGCTGATGCTTGGGCGTGTCCGTCTTCCATAACTCTCGCTCGATATTCTTCTGGCACAACCAGCTTCCAACCGTCTTCATCTCCGTTTATCGGCAATAAAAGTGGGTCACTTCTATGACGATATAGGTTTTCGTTCTCGACGATCCACCCTGGAAACCTCTGAGGATGCTGGCTCACTAACTCTCGGCGTTTGAGGTACCACTGATCCTCAATGGATTCAAACGCGGCTACTAATTCTTCCTCATCTTCTTGCAGTCTGGACAATGCATCAGGGACATGATGTTGTGCACCTCGTCTGTGAACTATGTCGAAGTCCCACTGCTGCATTTCTAGGGCCCATCTGGCTAATCGGCCTGTAGGATCTTTCAAGTTCCTGAGCCATTTTAGGGCACTGTGATCCGTGATCACATGGAATTTGTACCCCTCGATGTACGGCCTGAACTTCTTGATCGACCACAATAATGACAGACACTCTTTTTCTGTCACACTGTAGTTTCTCTCTGGCTCCGTCAAGACTCGGCTGATGTAAACTATTGGATGCTCTCCGTCTTCAAACTCTTGCGTCAGTACGGCTCCAATTGCATAGTTGCTGGCGTCACACTGAATTGTGAACTTCTTCGTGAAGTCAGGTCGGGCTAAGACTGGCGCAGATGTCAGCTTCTTTTTCAACTGTTCAAAAGCTTCTTGTTGCTCGTCCTCCCACTCCCACGTTCGGCCTTTGTGTAGCAACTTTAATAATGGTATTTTTATTTCGCTGTCGTTTGGAATAAAACGGGAATACCACCCGACCATGCCTAAGAAACGTCTGAGTTGTCTCACGTTCTTCGGCTCTGGATAATTTCTCACCGGCTCTGTCTTACTCGGATCTGGCCTCAAACCCTCTCTGTCTAATAAGTAACCCAGGTAAGTTACTTCGGAGCACCCGAACTCACACTTATCTGGATTCACTATCAATTTCGCCATGTTCAATTTCTTGAGGACGAACTCCAACCACTTAGCATGTTCTTCGAAAGTGTCTGTGACTACTATTATGTCGTCCAGATAACCGAAGACATGCGGCTCTACTTTCGGCCCCAGTAATGCGTCGATTAGACGTTGAAACGTCATCGGCGCGTTCATAAGTCCAAAGGGCATCCGGCGAAACTGCCACAGTCCTGACCCCGGTATGGCAAAAGCAGTATATTTCTTACTCTCTTCGGCCATTGGTATTTGGTGGTATGCCAGCTTGAGATCTACCTTCGACAGATATCTGGCTTTTCGGAGTTTATCCAAAATATAATCAATGGATGGCAGTGGGTATCCATCTTTGATCGTAACTTTGTTGACATCTCTGTAGTCATTACACTGTCGAAAGTCGTTCTCTCCTCTTCTCGTTATTACTGGCGCGCTCCTCCAACGGCTGGCAGATGGCTCGATGATCCCTAGCTTGTACAGTTTGGCAGCATTACCTTGGGCCCAGGTTAACATGGCTGGCGACATCCGTCTGATTCCATGTTGTACTGGCGTTTCGTCCGTAACACGTATATGATGTTCCGTCAAGTCTGTCATTCCGTGTTCTTCTGACTCTGGCAATACCCATTTGTCTACTAGGGCTTGAATGATACTCTTTTGTTCGTCATCGAGTGCGGAAATACCGGCGCATTCGGCGAATATTAGTTGTTCGTCCTCTTCTCTCTCTTTTGGCCCAAACTCATGCCATTCTCCTCTAAAAACTCTCCACAGTCCTTCTTTAAGCTTCACTTCCATGTCCCAGGCCTTACAGAAGTCGATGCCCAAGATGATGTCCTGAGTCAAAGAACTCATTACTTTGACTGCGAATCCTTGTGCGTAACCGTCGACCACTATGTTAAGGTCCAGGATACCGGCTGTTTCTGTGATACCTCCTGTTGCACTTCTTACAACTGTACCACATGGCTTAATTCGGCTTTTAAATGGCTCTGCGACTCTGATGTTGATTACTGAAATCATAGCACCAGGATCGAAAAGTGCCTCGTAATGTTGGTCGCCGATAGTCATGTCGAAGAAGTATCTGTTCTCCGTTCTAGATCCGTCGATGTCCTCCTCATTACTTAGGTTCGGGTCAGCTGTGACTCTCACAGCCTCTCCCCTCCCCTGGACTATAGGTACCGGGATCACATCCGTACCTTTTGTCCCACACTCTTCGGCCATTTTCTCTGTTTCGTTTCGGTAGAGTAAGCTCTCCTCACTCGACCGCTCTTGTTTAAATTCTGGCACGAATTTGAACGCGTTGTCCTCTGTCAAGTCGTCCCTACCTATGACTGGCTCTAACTTTTTCTTAACTTTCATTTCTATTTCTAATTCTACTTCTCTCTCAGTTTTTACCCAACTACAACTGGGCGTAAATCTATCTCTATACTCGCTATTTATCTCTACTCTACATGGCTCAACTATCTCGGCTCTCCTTTCTACTACACACGGCTCACGTAATTCGGCTCTTGTCTTTACGACACTCGGCTCACGAAATTCGGCTCTACACTCTACTATACTCGGCTCACGTAATTCGGCTTTACACTCTACTATACTCGGCTCACGTAATTCGGCTTTACATCCCTCAACAGTATTATTTACTGTCCTGTTGGGTTTGAGGGGGGTACAGGGCTGCTCTGTGCCCCCCACACACCGTTTCCCAAAGCGGCTCTGACTGACACACAATTTGGACAATTTAGGAAATTGCATCCTGGCCTCTTACATACCAAACACGCTTCTGTTTGGGCTGGCTTCAGAGGGCATTGATTTGAATAATGCCCTTGTTGCTGGCAAGAAAAACAAGTTCTCTGAGGGCAATCTCTGGCTCGATGTCCTGTAGTTTGACAGTGAAAACATGCCCCAACGAATTCTTTAGGGGTATTTGGGGTTTGTGTACCATTTTGCCCCGGTTTGGGTCCTTTAGGGCCATTTGGCCTGGGGTAATTTGGTTTCATTTCAGGCGGAAACATCCCTGGGTAAATCATTGGGTAGGCAAATTGCATTGGCATTTGCATTGCTTGGGGTGGCGTAGTACTGGCAACTTGGCCCTGGGACATTGCTGGCTTCTGGCTTGTTGTTGCTGGACTAATGGCTTCGACGTTCTCTTCTTCTGGTTTACTGTTTTCTTTCTTACTCTTCTTACTCTTCTTCTTCTTTTTCTTCGGCTTCTCGGCTTTAGTGGAGTGATCGCTTTCACTCGACTCAGGCTCTTTCTCCAAAGCGGCCACTTTTTCGCTCTTTACGTGTTTGTGACCATTCTTCTTTTCTTTTACGGCCGCTGACGGAAAACGCATCTTTTCCTTAGGTGGGGGCGGGGCGTATCTTTCGTCCAAGTCCTTTGCCTTCTCGTAGTTCCTTAGGATCTTCTCCATTTGGCTCAATGACTCGAACTGCAGTCTCTCCAGTTGGCGTCTGTAGGCTGGAGTCAGGCCTTTGTAAGCCACCTTGATTTGTTGTTTCTGGCTCAAAGGTCGTTTCATATGACCTAATATTAGTCGGAAACTCGTCAGGTATGGGGAAATTTTCTCTCCCTTGCCCTGAGTCCTGGCTCTTAATTCGTCTATGACATCATCATCGTCGACCACAACCAAATACTCATTTTTAAAGGCTCTTTGGAATGACTTCCAAGAACTTATTTCACGGCGCAGTGACCTGAACCAACTACTGGCGGATTTCTGTAAGATTATCGGCAGTACTTGTAAGATCTCTTGATCTGAGAAACCTGAGTTGGCTCTACAGTCTTCCAGTCTCTCCAGAAATTCTTCGGCATCGTCTTCATCTCCAAAGAATTTTAGGTCCCAGTCCTTAAGGGTTTTGATCACTTTTGACCTCCGGCCGGGCTTAATTTTTTCGCTTTCTCCCCCACTACTTAGGCGTTGACTCAAATCACTCTCAGAATCGGACTCACTCGTAGAGTCATCTAAGATTGATCTTCGGCTCTCCTTTGCGGCTTTCTTCGGCTTTCGTGTTTTTCTCTCTTTTCGTTCGCTTTTTATACTCACTCGGTTTTCGCTTCTACTCTCACAACTACACTTTTCACTTCCACGGTTCTCCTCGCTATCATCATACTCGATTCGTCTCTCTACCTTGTCTCTTTTACCCCTTCTACTACTCGCGCTATCATTATTTTCAAATTCCGTGATCGGCTCTCCATTTTTCGGCACTCTACGATGAGTGACATCAACGTCACTCACACTATTTCGGCTAGAATGGCTTCTCGGGGCGGGTGTGGGCCTCACTCTATCATTAGTATGATGTGAGTGTGAGGTCTCGGCTAGAAGGGAATTTCTTTGAGGGGACACTAGTCTCGATTGCTGGTGGTGAATCAGATGGTGCCCCTCTGCAACCTCAGCCCTACATTGGCTTTGTCGTAGCTCCCACCCCCCTCCCGAATACTGGCGGTCCAATTTCTCAGCGTACTCCATGATTTTTTTTATTTCGGGTGACAAACCCAAGCGCGCGACTGAATCACGGAGGCTCTGGACCACTGGGGCCATCGTGGCTGACTGAATGGTATGGGGTGCTGTCATGACCGTGCTCGTTGTCATGCTCAGCTGAGCACTCGACATGGTGGGGGAAAACGTCGTCATGCTGGCGGTTGTCATGACTGGGGTTGGGGGTGTAAAATTTGGGGCGGATGCTACGCTGGTCGGACTGTGCCTACTGTACGATGCTCTGTCCCTTGTTTTACTTTCCCCACTTCCTATGTTTTTCTTGGCACTAATACGCTCTATGACTTGACTTGCCCCGCTGTCTGAATCTTCGTCATCTGCCGATGACATCTGGCCACCCCGACGATAATTCACAAATGGAAATTTTTCCATTTCTGGCTCCGGAAACGCTTCCAACAAAAAGATTTTGTCGGAATTTCCTAAGTCATACCGATCGCAAAATGGCACGTCGCTACCGTCGTTTAGTGCTAATCTCATTTCCGCTCGTAGTAGCCTCTCCTTCAAAACTTGTGGCGAACCACTGATACACAGTTGGTGTCTCAGTAAGTTCGTCACTATCTGGCCAACTTGCATGATTTTAATTTTTTCCCATGCTCGGCTTACGCACGGTACTTCAATTAATTCACTCATGCGTCTTTTGTAGTCCTGCATATCATCAATTGCCTTTGCCATTTTAAAAAAAATATTTTTAAAGAAAAATTTTCTAAGTAAAAAAAATTTTTTAATTTTCAGGGGGGTGCACGATTTGTATATACGGCACTGTGCTGTCTTAAAGCAAGGACGTGACTACTCAACGAGGGCCCCCTTTTGAAATTTTTAATTTTCTGGCGGACTGGTGGCTCGACTCTCCCTCTGTCTCTTCTTCTCGTTCTCTCTCTCTCTTTCTCTGTGTAGCCGCTATTACTACTACTACTGGGCCACTTTTTCCTGGCGCGCGCAAACTTTCTCTCGGCTGTCGAAATTTTTAAATCTCCCGGCGCGTCGTTTCTCTCGACCGTCCGGCGCACTATTTGCAGTCACGTGACTAATTCGAATTTTATTTCCGGTCTAACATGTGCTCGGCATAAATTTTTGGGGAAAATTTTGATTTTGCACGAGTTTGTTGGGAATTTTACTCGGATTTTTCTCACAGAACTGGCTTTCGACAAACAAAAAAAATTTTTAAATTGCTGAATTCAATTTTTATCACGGCAGGAAATTTTTACAGTCTTAAAAGAAAAGAAATTTTCAAATTAAATGGCAAAGGCACTCTACAATTTTATTTTACGCAGTTTTCGACAATAATTTACTCATAATTTATGAATAAATAAATTTCGGCATTGGCAAAATAAATCGGCAAACAATTCGGCAACTTAATTTTTGAATTTTCTTGGCAAAAAAAAAAAAAATATATATTTGGCTCAAAAAAAAATATATAAAATTCAAAAATTTCGGCTTTTGGCTATTGAATTCTGAACTTTCGGCTTTTGACAAGAACTTGTCGGCTTTGGCAATTTTAATGTTCAGAATTCTGGCAAAAATTTGGTACAACACAATGTCAAATTTATGTTTATAGTCGTGTCTCGGTTCGAGCCTGGCCCCACGTTGGGCGCCAAATTTTGTGACGTAGGATTTAAACTAATTAGAATTTAGTTTAATAGTTTCTGCTTTACGTCAAGCAAAATCCGACGCTTTCAACAAAATAATAATTTGAAATTTAAGTTAATAAATCTCGCCGTCAGGCGCCAATTAATTTTAAAGATAATTAATAAACTTCTACTCGGCTCGGCTACCAACAAAATTCAACTCCTCTGAACTTACTCTCTCACTCAGAGGAAATTCTGCTCGAACGATTGGCAAGCAGAAAATGCCAACGGCGAGACACGACTGGCACAATATCGGCAAAACGACTTACCCACGATGATCACTCTCTGGCTTCCTTGTGTCCCCGTGATTCGGCTTATCGGCGATTATCTCCTCGGAGAGTCGGCTTAATCCAGAATTTAGGAGGAGAAAGGGGAAGTCAGAAATCCACACACACAACAATCCAAATTACTCACAATTTATTGTTTTAATAGTTTTGAGCTTCACGCTCCACCTCTCAACACTATACACTATTCGGCAACTCAAAAAAAGAACTCCAACAACTAACTCAACTACAACAAAAATGAAAATTAAATTGTAACGACGGACTATAGTACCGGCGAAAAAGTATCAATTTTCGTAATGGCGGTGAAAGTACAGGACACCTGTCGCGTCTTGGCTTTTTCGCTGCACGTGGCTCGTCTTCTTCCTCTTGTGTTCTAAAAATAGTACTGGCCCCGCCATCTATCACTTTCTCCGGCGGCTGGCCGCGCGACCCACTTCCGCTACTACTAGTAGGTCAGCCGGCGGCCTTTACTCTTCCTAATTACCATTGAACGCTGATGTTAGTTCGGGGTTTTTCCGACGGATGACACGACGATTCAGAATTTTCGACAATTTAATGACACAACGAAAATTCACTTCGTCACAATGAATACAATAGATAGACTTACAATTCAACTTTACAAATAAAAAAGTCTATAACTAACATTTGCTTTAGGGTTATAGACTTTTTTATTTTGTAATGCAGGATTATTAATTAATTAATAATAATAATAATAATAATTATTATTATTATTATTATTATTATTATTATTATTATTATTATTATTATTATTATTATTACACTGAGAGAACATTATACTTAATTCAAATAGAAAAATAATTTTAAATGATTTTGTTTAATTGAAATTAGTTTGTAAGGTTAATCCCAATATATAAAAAATATCTACTGCTTTGATTCAAAAATATTATTTGTTTGAATAATTATGTTTAATTCAAACATATTTTCTGTTTTGATTTAAACAAAAATTATGTTTAAAAATTTTGTGTTTGATTCAAACTTAAAATTTTATTATAAATAATTTAAAATCAACCTTAACTTATGTTTGAATTGAATATATTGTTTCTTTAAATGAACCAAAAAATATGTTTGAATTAAACTTAAATATGTTTGACTGTATAGCAAAGATATTTTAAGTTTGATTTAAACAAAATTTGTTTGAACCAAATAATTCGTTTTCTGAGTGTATTATTATTATTATAAAAATTATAATAATATACGTATTATAAAATAAGTAACTATTTTTTTAATTAACTATTGTAGTTAGAAATTTTTCTTGGGTTGGGGTAGTCTGTAGGCGCGAGAGACGCGCTGCGCTGAGAGCGTGATCAACTCGGACGGCTCGCGCGCGGCGGGACTAAAAATACTGAATCTTCTAAACTTTTAGAGAATCCTAATTTTTTATTTTTGCTATACAATCATGAAAAGTCCCTCTTCATGATTCTATAAAAAAAAATTGGTAAAATCGACCGAGAACATTGTTTATTTATAAAATTAACAATAAAAAATATAATTTGTTTAAACAAATTACACTTTTTATTTATATTTCATATATTTATGGAAAGTACGTTTCCTAAGCTTTCTGAAAATATAAATTTTATTGAAATCGGTCCAGAACTTTTCAAGATATTCAATTTTTAAAAAAAAGTGCAAAAAACTTTAATTGTTTATAACTTTTAAAAAAATTAAAATTTTGAAAAATCGTTTTAGGGGTTTCTTAGTGCCGTCATGGACTATGAAAAACACTAGGTATCATTTACGTTCCTTACCCTAAAGAAAATTGGGGGCCACTTCAGGAATTCTTACCCAGTAGTTTTTTTATTAAAAAACAGAGGGTGATGGAGCAATTCTGACATTGTTTTTGAGTTGTTGTAAGAAAAGTGCATTTTATGGTTTTGTTTTGCAATATAATCTGTATATAGACCTGGTTTAATAAATAGACCACTTTTATTTTTTAGTGTGCTTGTGTAATTCTTGATATTGATGAACTATGTACCGTCAAGACGGTTAATAGACTTTTCTAAATTTAATTTAAAGAAGATAGTTTACATACATTTAAATCAGAGAGTCAAGTAAATGCGTCTTACGGTACTTTAAATTTTGATTTATTTAAAATTAATTTTTAATAAAAAACAAGTTTTCATAAATATTTACCAATGGCATTTAAAACTCATTAATGTGTTGTCCAATAGAAGTAACTGTAGTATCCATCTTTACGTATAATAGAAAATGAGCATTTCCTCTTTGATATTCAGGTTTTCCTAATGGATGTGCAACAGCACCCTTTATCTGTAATATCTGTATTTTAAATAATTTAAATTTAAATATTTGTAATAATACCAAAATTTATAAGTAGCTAATAGACATAAAATTTATAAAATATATAAGTGATGATAGTTAAATTCAATGATTTGTGTAAATTATAAAAATTAATTTAATTTAAATGATTTTATTATATATAACATGATAAAAGTTTTTTTTTTTTTTTTATTTTGCATGCTTTATTATCTATATTTTCTAGGAGAGAAGGCTCCAAGATAGACATGGTTTAATGTTCTAGAATCCAAACCGAATAATGTATGGTAAATTGTAATATACTGAATAAAAACACAATGTTTTGGTTATCTTTTAGGCACAAAAAAAAATTTTTTTTGAACACACATTTTTGAAAGTATTTTTTTAAATTGTCAAAGTTTTCGATTTAAAAAAATGGCCTGAAAATGATGCTACTTTATACCAAAATTTCAAACGAAATTTCATAAATATTTTTATTTAACTTAAAAATTTTTTTTTATGATGCTGTCAACTTACTTTATTTTTAAGAATGATAGAATGAAGGCGATTAACATTTTCTGTTTCCCAAGCGACGCAGGATATTTTTCTTCCTTTTCCATTGGCTAGAGTAAATGCCAGTAATTCCTGATTCATAACACATTTTTTCGACACATCCACAATATAACCAATTACTTCTCTAAAACAATAACAGATGTATGATATAATATGATATTCACGTTAGAGTTACATGAAAATATTAGTTTTAAATAATATTTGTAATGTTATATAATATAGGTAATACAGAAACATACATTGCTGAGTCAAACATTTCAATTTCATCAATAGTTGCTGATGGTGTCATTAATAAATTCTCCATTCTGTATTAAAAAAAGTGATATTTTAATAAAATTTTAGAATATATTAAAAAAGTTCATCTATCTTAAATTCAGCTGTTAATTACATTTCCTCTTTGCAATAAACAATTTTCTGACTTATAAGTAAGAATGTGTAAATAATGAAAAAATTTTACATCAATGATCAGAAGTATTAAAACTTTATTAAAAAAATTAATTTTTTTGAAAGTGGTAACAAATATGTTTAAAGCATTTTTTAAATTTCTTGTGACTATTTTGAGATATTAATAGGATGAATATGCCAATATATTTCAAAGTAAATTCGTAAAAACTTTTCCAAGTTTGTGTATTTATAACAAAAATGAGTCAACATCCCCAACCAACTCCAATTGGAGTTGGTAACAGTTTTTTATACTTTTTAATATTATTTTCTTATTATTATATTTTAAAAATTTTATTTTATTAATTTTATACGGAAAAAAATCTTCAACTATTAAGATGAATTTACAAATTCCAATTAGAATTGGTAACAGTTTTTTATACTTTTTAATATTATTTCCTTATTATTATATATTTAAAATTTTTTTCATTAATTTCACAGTGCAATAGAATTTTACTTTTTTATTATTTCTGGAATCGCATAGGGTGATTATTCAAGAATTGTTCCATCACCCTAGGTTTTCGAGAAATTTGACCTTGAAAATTGAAAAATGAAGTTTTTCGGGTACTTTTTGATTTTTTATTACTTTTTTAAAGAAATTGTTGTATTTTGTTTATAAAACTGTTATAAACAAATTATTTTCAAGAAGGTAATTTCAATTCAGTGATTTCATTTTTACAACTGTAGTCTGTAATTTTTGGTGATTCTAAACAGACCGAAACCACCTAATTTGTTTAAAAAATTGTTATAACAAAAAAAATGTTGCGACGCGAATTTTAAACAAGGATAATTAATAAAAAAATTGATATTTTTAAAATGTTAAAATTGGAAATTATTGAGGAGGATATAAGCTTTTGGACGCATATCATAAAAACCATAGAAAAATTTTTGTACCTTGATAAAAAACCAAAAAGTACCTCAAAAACAGAATTTTTTAATTTTCAAGGTCAAATTTATCAAAAACATAGGGTTACAAAACAATTCTAATTACGGATTTGCGCTTAGCATCAAAAAATCTATAAGAATCACCCTATCCGATCTCAGAAATAAAAATTCTGTTGCACTGCGTGCAACTTAAAAAATCGTTCGTTGATAATCGTTGATAAAAAACGGTTAAACTGCTACCAACTCCAATTGAAGTTTTTATACTTTTTAATATTATTTCATTATTGTTATATTTTTTTAAGTTTTAATTTTTTCTTTATTAATTTTAGTAACTTTATTAATTTGATTAATTTTATTATCTTACATGGAAAAAAATCATTAGCTGATAAAAAAACAGTTTTTTAAAAAATTATCGAATACTCTACAAAAATATACAATGTGGAATATTTACAAAAATTTCGTATGAAATTTTTTTACGGAATTCCGTAGAATCGTTTCACGTGGAACGTGTACACTGGGATAAACACAAACAAACATCTGAGTATTCAATTAGGAACTTATATAAGTTATGTGTACAGATATAAAATGTTTTAAACAAGTTTTTAATAAATCTATACCCACATAGTTCAACATCTAAGATCAATATTGCTTACGTTGCCCGGCAATGTTGCTTTAACATTGATTCTGATAACATAAACGCAATATTGCCAGGCAATGTCTACAGGGTGGACATATTCAATAATGAAGCAACATTGGTAATACTGCTGTACAAAATTTAACTCAAATCTTGTGTTACTTTTAGGCTTATTTAAAATAAATATTTGACAAAATATTAAAAAATTTGTTAGTCAGAAAATTATGTATCACATTCGTCAATTTATAATTCAATGTAATTTTTTATATAAAATATATATAACATACCTTTTTAAGTATTTTAAAAATCCTTTAAGAAATAGCACACTTCTTTTTATTAAAGAGACGTTATTTTAAAATAAAAATTCAGGTATCATTTATTCACAATTTAACCAAAAATAGAACCAAAATGGTGCCTAAATGGATGTATAATATATACTGATAGAATGTAGTGGTTGAGTGATGAGAGGATTGAAGGTGAAGAAGAATAAATAGAGGGGTTGCAAAAGAGAAAGTAATGGATCAGGGGCGTAATGAATCACTTTAATTTCATGAAAATGTTTAAAGTTTTAATTAAATATGTTCCATTTTTAAAACTCTTTGTTATAAATGTACAATAGAGACAAAAATTGTCAATATTGTAATAATATTTCATGGTCTCCCATAATTATTTGTTTTTTTGTGAATTCTAACTACGGACCCGATAACATCGAGTTTTCTAAAAAGTAGCTGTCGTTTTGGATCCGCAACTTTTTATTTTAAAAGACTGACATCATAAATGTAATCATCAATTTTAATAATTTTCTTGTGACAAGTTTTAAACGAGTCAGATTATTTTTTTTTAAATTGAAATTTTTGATTCGCCATTATTTTAAAAAATATACATCGGATTTTTAGTTAAAAAATTGATTTTTAAGCTTCAATTGGCATTAATTCTTTAAATTTCCAATATAAATTATACTTTATATGGACCTATCGGTTCGTCTTCATGCAAAAAATACAATTTTGTCTCTCACATTGACATTTCACTTTGACTTTTATTTTATTTCACTAAATAACAGAATGCGACCTTCTGCGCAAATTCTGTACCATTATTATAGCTCGAAAATTTTAATTAATACAGTAGATGTTATAAATAATTTGTCAATTTTTCGATAATACATTAGTATTAAACTATTATAAATGTTTTAATTTAAAATATTTATTTTTACAAAAATTTATTTTCTTAATTTTAATTTTTATAAAATGTTGTTTTAAGTTTAATATTAAACTAAGATTCTTTTTGAACACATGAATTAATTAAACAAAAAACAAATTTTTAATCTATTCACATCTTAAAGAACATCTACATAATCATAATTAAATTGCACGAATTATTACACTTTTAAAAATAATTTAGTCTTTTAAAAATAAAGTATGTCATAACAAGTTAATGCAGATTATAAGAATTTAAAATACACACAAATACAAACCAAATTCTAAACGTAATTAAGACTTGATTGCACCAAAATACTAACCTTACAAATTTTATAAATTTCATGAAATATTTTATTGATCATAAATTTCTAGATCTGAAACTTTCAAAACGAAAGTTTCCAATTGAAAGTTACGACACATTGATAAATTAAGTGTAAATTTATCATTAAAAGATTAAAAAAACATAAGGGGAATTTTCAAAATAGGGTCAAAATTAAAGAGTGAACTTTTTGGGAAATAGAAGACAGACTGTAAAGTCTAAATAACAAATTTACTGAAGAAAGTTTGAAAGGATATTTTATAAATAAAATACAACAAAATTTTATTTTTATTCAAATAGTAGTCGGATATAACTATTCAAAATTACTATTGGAGTAACAATTTTTATGAAAATTTCATTTTATGTATTTAATACATAAAATTAATATTTATTCGTCGTTTTAATTTTTTTAGTAGTTTTTTTTAGTTTTTTTTATTTTTAGTGGATTTATAGAATTTAAGAGTAGACTAAAGTATTTAACATAAACCGTACTATTTGATTCATATTAGAGTAATTGAACGAATAAAATCTTTTTTAAAATGCTAGAATTTTTGCAATAAATATTTTAAAAAATTTAAATGGAAAAGCAATTTTTAAAACTATTAATGGTAATCAATTTTACCAGAAATATCACAAACATTTTGTGAGAGTACATAATTCTTTTGAACAAGTTGTATTTTCTTTAAAAAAATATTTTATCAACATATAGGTAATATTGTATGAAAAATTTCAATTTACAACTAAAAAGTAGGTAATTTTTAAGATCATTATAAATCAAATAGTTACTTTTTTAAAATACATTTAAAGGTCATTATTTAGTCAGTCACTTATTCAAAAAAAATTATTTTACGTAAGTATTTTTGCTAAGAGAAAAATGTTTATTATTTTAGTCGACTTTAAAGTAAGTTTAGAAATAATCAAATTTTGAAGATTTCTTTTAAGAAATAATACATTCTTAAAAATAAATTAATTTTTTGGCAATGAAGACACAACTTTTTGTTCAGTTTTTTTTATTTTTACATACTCTAAAATGTAACGACTTGAAAACTTTCTTATAGAAAATATTCTTCATACAGATTGTGGACATAAAAAATGCTCTTGCATTTCCGCCGAATATACCAAAATTAAGTAATGGAAAAAATAATAAATTTATATTTAATACAATTAAATATTTAATTTTAAATTTTGACGTCGAAAAATAAAGTTTTTTGTTCAAAAATTACCAAATTAAATTTCGTCTATTAAATTAATAATTTTTTAAATTTCAGAAAATGTGACTACTTTCTCAAAAATTGCATCTGCACTTACAAAATAATGAAACTGTTTTACAATTATTGAATAATTAAACGTAATTTAAGTATGTGATAATTTTCATAAAATTAATAATTTTATAGTTAAAATCTTTTATAAATAGGTGTTTATACAAAAGATACTTCAAAATTCATAAACTTCATATTTTGGTAGTTAAATATTAAAAAAAATATTTGTTTTTAAAAATGTTGTCATTAATTTATGAAAATTTTAACACAATTGTAATTTTATAAAATTTATGTAATAATTTTTGACAATCATTTGGATAAAAATAGGGAATCATTTGGATAAAAAATATATTATTGAAAAATTATAGCATTAAGATATTACAATTTCTTATTTAAGGCACTTAAAATTTTAAGTCATAACACTTTCCTGGTTTCTTCCTTTATCCCCTCTTTTCATATAATGTGATTCACTTCTTTTGGTCTTTCCTACTACTGGCATTTTCAAACTGTTCTATCGTTCGCGAACTGAGCTGTAGAAAGTACGTTTAAGGGACTATAAGCACCCTGTTGCTATAAGAAAAGAATTGTGATCTATTTCAAAAAAGTGTGTGTTCCATTTCAAGAGAAATTTGAGGTAAGTTTTGTGTTTGTTTAAATAATTTTGTGACATTGTACTATTTATAAACCAAGTATTAATATTTTATTATAAAGTAATATTTTTTAACGAAATATAAAGACGGATGTAAGGAAATGAATTTGTTTTGTACATTTACTATTTTATTGAACGCGATTTCCGTTATATTAGAGAAGTAATAAAATTATTTAATTTAAAAATAGTAAATCAGTAACTATTATTAAATTGAGTAAGAACATCTATTTTAAAATAAAACTTTAATTTCACTCTAAAGGTTAAGACTCTCATATTCATGTAAACATCAGTTTATTTACTTTTCTTATCTTCTTCAAAAGCCTTATAAATTTAATTATCCTTTACAAAATTGAAGAACGTATGTTGTGAAATGTGATATATTTCGAATAAAATTTCATTCTAATTCCAAAATTATATTTCTGTATAAATTTAAAGACATTATTGTTACCTGGCAGTACAGATGTGTTACATTAAGAAATAATGTTGTATTGCTTTTATTATTTTGTTTCATATTAATATATATATTGTTTATTTCAAAAGTAAATTAGTGTACTGCTATATTGCCATATCGTTATTAATATAACATACATACATACATACATACATACATACATACATACATACATACATACATACATACATACATACATACATACATACATACATACATACATACATACATACATACATACATACATACATACATACATACATACATACATACATACATACATACATACATACATACATACATACATACATACATACATACATACATACATACATACATACATACATACATACATACATACATACATACATACATACATACATACATACATACATACATACATACATACATACATACATACATACATACATACATACATACATACATACATACATACATACATACATACATACATACATACATACATACATACATACATACATACATACATACATACATACATACATACATACATACATACATACATACATACATACATACATACATACATACATACATACATACATACATACATACATACATACATACATACATACATACATACTATCATACAGACATACATACATACATACAGAATCCATACATTACATACATACAATACATACATACAGACATACATACATACATACATACATACAAATACATACATACCATCTACTACATACAGACAGACATAACATTACATACATACATACAGACATCTACATACATACATACATACATACATACATACTACATACATACATACCTAACATACATACAGACATACATACACATACATACATACAAATACTACATACATACACTACAGACATACATACATAAATACATACACCTACATCATACATACATACATACATACATACAGACTACATACATACATAATACATACATACTACATATCATAGCATACATACAACAGACATACAAAATACAACATACTACATACATACATACTACAGTACATACATACATACATACATACATACATACATACATACATTACATACATCTACATACATACATACATACATACATACATACATACATACAATACATAATACATACATACATACATACATACATACATACATACATACATACATACATACATACATACATACATACATACATACAACATACAATAGCATACATACATACATACATACATACCATTGTTATATGCCCACTAGTACTGTTTATAACTATCCAACTTACTTTATTTATAGAAATATGGAAATGTCAACAAATGAAGCTATAGATGCGGTGGAGTTTTGGGACAAAACAGTGTATGTATCTTAAATATTTATTTCTATTGTAATGTATAATTTTTGATAAGATTAAATATGTTTCATAAATAGAGAATTACTTTCTCTGAAAAAATTCTTTTTGCAGAAAAATATAAACGTTTTTACGGAAAATGAGTAAAATTTATGAATTTTATGAATTTATAAAAATTAAAATTATAACTCTTCCTGAATTCAATTATTTTTAACAATATTCAACAAAACTTCATCTCTAAATCAATTAATTTAAATAATTTTCCAAAAGTTCTTCTAGAATTCAATTATTTAATTACAAAAACTCAAGTTTTTATAATAATTGTAACTCTCCATAGTTTTCTCTTAAGTTATTAATATATACAATTTTAAAAAAATAAAGAAATTTTTTAAATTAATACTTTTTAATATTTAAAAATAATTTTTGCAAGATAATAGTTTTTCAATTTTAAAAATTTTTTAAAGAATTAAAATTTGGTATAATCTTTTAGAAATAATTAAATTTTTTAAAAATATAAATAAAAATGATTAAATTTTTGAAGAATATTAATTATAAACAGGACCATGATTTCTCATAAATTTTAATGAGTCTAAAAAGTAAATTTTCAAAAAATTTTATTTACATTAATCGAAGATGATTCAAGCTTAAAAAATTATTATAAAACAATTCTAATAATTGGTTTTGAAAAATATTTTAATGTAAATTTTCGAAAATAATTTAATTTCTTAAAATAATTTTTGTGTAATTTTAAAAAAATAATTAATATTTTGATAACAATAATTAAAAATCTGAAACATGATTGTTTTTTCCAAAATGTTAAAAATAGTTCTAAAATATTATTTTTGTATGTATTTGAATTTTTGGGAAAGATGTAATTGGAAATTCTAAAAATATTGAATTTTAAAAAATTAAAAGCTAATTTTCAATAATTTTCATTTTTAAATTTACCTTTAAAGATTTTTTATTAAAATTTTTGAAATTTCAATTATTTTCAAAATTTGCCATTAAAATTCTTAAAAAATTTATTTTCAAAAATTGGAACAAAATACTTAAAAAAATTAATTATTTTCAATTAAATTTGACAAAATTTCAACTATTCAAAAAGATTTTTATTATATTTGAAAAATTTAATTATGTTAAAAGAGAATTCAAAAACAATTTGAATTATTTAATAATTTGAAAGATTTGTTTATAGTTATTTTTCACATTACATATAAAAATCAAAATAAGTTGCAATTTTTCACTAAAAATTGTTGTATTTTGTTGCAATGTTTTGAAAAAAAATAAAAAAAAGTCGCAATTTTTTAAAATAAGTCGAAAAAAGTCTTAATTGTCTTAATTTCCTTCACAAAATTTTTTTCCTGACATTTTCCTGACTTTACTGACAAAAAACTTGTTTCCCTGAATGGCGAAAGTTTTAACGTTTAAAATTTTTTTAAAATAATAAAAAAGAGACATATTATTTTTAGACAAAAATTCACATTTATTTTGCATGAATTCTTAATAATATACAAAAAACTAAAGTTATGCTCAGTTTAAGAAGATTATGCGATTATGTGACTTGCATAAAGTTCGGGTCTCTATTCATAAATATTCGTAAGCTGAATTTTTTTCAGTATACGACAAATTTTTTCAAATTGCGGAACCATAAAATAATTATTTTTTCAGAGAATTGATTGGATATGTATCAAGCGTTGTGCCCAGAAGATCTGCCGGCAAAACCGAATGTTTCAAATTTTATTTAAATAACAATTATGGAAGGAAAATCCAATGCGTTGTTTGGGGGAAGGATGACATTGACGTCTTGCAAGATAAAATTGGAAAAAATGCGGTTAGTATGTTATATCAAATTATTACATTCATCAATCTTAAAAAATGTTTGAATTTCTTTATTTTTTCTAAAAATATGTAAATGTTAGGTCGCATGATTCTCGCTATGTTCATTTTTACACTATTGTTTTTGTAGATTAAGGGGGAAAAAGCAGTTGTGAGATCCCATTGAAATATGCCTATTTTTAGGTACCATTTTCTGTGCAATTTTGAAAAAATAATTACAAAAAAAAGAGTAATTATTTTTTCAAAATGGCACAGAAAATTCAAAAATATTTTTTTTTTATCAAACGATCAGATTTTAGTTCTTTGTATATAAAATCAGCATAAAAAGAGTATGATGGAAAATAATCATTTGGAGCTGAAAAAATGGTACCTTAAAATAGGCATATTTCAATGGAATTTTACAACTGCTTTTTATCTTTAATGAATGGATTCCTATAAAATATAAAGAAATATAAATACAAAGTACAGACATATGCAAAAATATTAATGTACTAAATTAATTATTATTAATTATTTGGAAATGTGTGGTTATATGTGACGTCACCATTTGAATTCTCTAAAAATTTCTAATTCATAATTAATTTAACAAACATCAACGTTTTTGCATTTCATTCTACTTCTTAATTATATTTTTAACTTCTTAACAGGCTATTATTAAAATTTACTTACCAATTTCACAGGTAATTTAGAAATTTTTGTTAATATTAATTTCTAAATATTTCAGATTCTCCACATTGATGGAGCTTGTGCTCGAGTTCCAGCAAAACCAGAGTACAACTATGGAAATGTCAGATTTGAACTACAATTATCTGCTAAAACAGTCATAAATCAAGTAGGGATGCATGCAATTGAAGATGTTGAATCGTTCGACCTTAATGTAATATTACTCGCAGATGTTATTCATCACGAAGGAGAAAGATTAAGTAAGTTACTTTTATATAAAATATGTGAAATATTTAACTGTTGTATCCCTTATATTTTATTTTTATGAATATTATATTTGCATACAGTGCCGCTAAATTCTTTTTTTTAATGTAAAATCAACATTATTACACATGAACTTGCAATAATTTGTTTTAAACTATTAATGAATTATTTGTTCAAATATTATTTTAGTTTTTTCATAATTAATGTGTTTATTATTTTTTTCAGAAGTTTTCGGATATCTAAAAAGTAAATTCGTGGAAGAAAAAGTAGGCACTCTTAAAAACATTGGAACATACGGCTGTGGATCTATAACGGATGGGGTGTACAAAATGGAAGTCCGTATTGCATCCTTTAAAAACACATTAAAGTGTAATAAAGGAGATCCTTTGCATTTAATTGGTCAGATTAACACACAAGGTAATTAAAATTAAAAACATAATAATATTGATTGACTTGGAGGATTGATAACTTCTTATACATAATAATAATAATAATAATAATAATAATAATAATAATAATAATAATAATAATAATAATAATAATAATAATAATAATAATATCTGTAAGCAGATTTCCCAAAAGTCCCTAAGCAAAAAAAAAAAAAAAAAATTATTATATAATAATAATAATAATAATAAAAATAATAATAATAATAATAATAATAATAATAATAATAATAATAATAATAATAATACATTATATTAAAAATACACTGAGAAAAGAAATTATTTGATTCAAACAAATTTTTTTTAAATCAAACTTAAAATATCTTTGCTATACAGTCAAACATATTTAAGTTTAATTCAAACATATTTTCTGGTTCAGTTTAAGAGGTATAATATTTTTTCAGTGCATGAATATTAATAGTGTATATTTTAAAATAGAAATAATTTTTTTAAGGGGCAAGAATTTTTCTACAACTTCAAACAGAAGACGACATTGATGTTTTAGAAGAAAAAGGATTATCTCTTTCTCAAGTTATCGGCGGATTTAGAGAAATGAAGAGAGTCAACTCAGGGCAAATCACGAAAGAAAATGCAGAAATTGAAGAAAAGTTATAATTTTTTTTCGACATCAATTCAGTAACTTTTTTTATCAACTCAGGGCAAATCACAAAACAACATTCAGAAAATTAAAAAAAATTTATAATTTTTGTTTAATTTGATATGAGCCAAAATAAGTGATTTTTGGTAGATATATAAGTACATTTTTTTCCCTCTACAATATTTTTCAAAAAAAAATTATTTTTGAAGTAATCAGGTGTTGAATTTTTGGGTCATTTTATTTTCATTTTCTGATTACTCTAAAATGAATAAAGATAATTAAGTGAATTTTTTTTAAATTATAGCTTAGAGTCAATACTTTGAAGATGAAATAAAGCAATTGCATAACAATAAAATTTTTTAATTGCTGTTAACAATTCTTTTAAAAATTGCAAATTGAAGAATGTTCTAAATTTGTTTGATAGATTAAATTTCCATGTATTGATGTGCAAAACTATAAGGATTAATTTAAAAAAAGAAAACTGAGTAACCTCCAATATTATAGAAATTGTGAAGATTTTTCCGCCAAAATGCAAGCGAAAATAGACTTCTGATCTTGAAAATCCGCTTAAAAGCGTGAAGTTTTTAACAAAACAAAAGAAGATCTCTTTTATTCATTTGCAATTTTATCTGTTTACAGGAACATTTTGTCAGAAAAATTTACACAATTTCTTTAATATTGGAGGTTACTCAGTTTTCTTTTTTTAAACTAATCCTTATAGTTTTGCGTATCAATACATGGAAATTTAATTTATCAAAAAAATTCAGAACATTCTTCACTCTAAGCTTTAATTTAAAAAAAATTCACTTAATTATCTTTATTCATTTTAGAGTAATCAGAAAATGAAAATAAAATGACCCAAAAATTCAACACCTGATTACTTCAAAAATAATTTTTTTTTTGAAAAATATTGTAGAGGGAAAAATGTACTTATATATCTACGAAAAATCATAGATTACTTGAAAATTGGAAATCAAAGTTTTTCAAGTGGTTGGTTTCACTTATTTTGGCTTATATTAATTCAGTAACTTTCTTTTTATTTATAATTGTTGATTTGCATAAAAGAAACTTATTTTTTTTCGCTTTATTTGATTATTTTCATTTTTGGGTTATAATTATAATTATTATAAACATTTGTACTTAATAACAGTATTATTAAAAGATAGATTATTAATTTAATTGAGGATATACATTTTAAAATGGCAAACATATAAAGTTATAAATTTCGACTAAAATTCTAAATGTTTGTGTATTAAGGGGTCTACCCACTCTAGACGCGCTAAAAGAAGTCTATTTTTGAAATTTTTTTTTAGGTTTAAATTCTAAATAAATATTGGCATGTGAAGTTTTACACATAAATAAATACAGTCTCGAAGTGCAAGAAATTTTTTTTAAATATTGTTTTTTTTTATTTAAAATAATTAATGAAAAATATTTTTAAAAAAGAAGTGGGTGTGCGCTGTTGATGAAATTTTTGACGTGGATGGTCTGAAACAAAATATCCAAACGATATTAGATTCAGTATGTTAATAGCTATAGTGCATATCATACGATTTTTGTTTTTTGCAAAATTAAAAAATAGTGTACATTTTTCGAAAATTATATTAAAATTTTTTTATTTTTTACACTGTTTTGGGTCCTAAAAATATATTTAAAATCAAAGTTTTTTTAATTTCTTGATATGCGCTGTAGCTATAAATCTAATATAATGTATAATATATATATATATACATATCTAATAACATCCTGAATCTAATACTGTTTTGATTTTTTATTTTAGACCATCCATGCCAAAAATTTCAACAATGGAGCACTTTTCTAAAATATTCTTCAATAATAATTTTAAAAAATATATATATTTGAAAAAAATTAAAACTGTTTTTTTCTTACATTTCGAGAGTGTATTTATTTATGTGTATTACCTCACACGTTAATATTTACAATTTAAACCTGAAAAAATTACAAAAATAGCCTTTTTAGCGCGTCTAATGTGGATAAACCCCTTAAATTACACATTTTCAATAAACATGTGCCATTTTAAGATCCTCACCCTTCACTTGGAGACTGGAATTATGTGATAATTTTATTTAAAAGACATAATTCATGCAACATATTATATTGCATATAAAAATATGTTAAGTTTACGAAAATATTATTTTTATTATGTTATTTTTTTTACAGTTTCATTACATTTAAGAATGTATTCAATTATTATTTACAATTCGATATTTCAAAATAAAAAATTATGCAAAAAGTTGCAGAATAATGCTTCTAATTTAAAATCCTTCTATAAAACGAGTAATTATAAGAAAAGTATTATATTATTATTATTATTTATTATATTGAGTTTAGAAAAACCTTTTTAAAGAATGAAAGTTTTAGTTTTTTTTAACTTTGGGCACGATTTTTTTTAATTTTTTTAAAATTTATTTACACTTTACAATATTGAGATTTTCCAAAAAGTCCTAGAGTTAACCGATGCGTTTAATGATAATATGACCTCCAGATTAAATAGTAAATCATAAAATAATTTAGCTAAACAATATTAGTTAAAATTAGTTAACTTTAGTTTCTCTCCATCAAAAAATTTTGTTCTTTCATATTTATATTTCAATTAGTCAAAAATAAAAAATACGTATTTCAAGTTTTTTTATAAATTATTAAAAAAAAATATGTTTATCCGAATTTTTTAGGTCATAGGTAAATCTCATGTGGAATTCCTCATATATAATAATTAAAGTTAATACTAAGAACAGACTTTTTGAAATTGTCAGGTATTATATTTTATTAAATATTGAAATATAAAATAAGAAACAGGTAAAGAAAATTCGGTTATTTTAAAATATTTAATCATCACAATGGTTGTAATAGATGGTACCTATAAGCTACAGTACCGTCCGCAATTGTCAGTCCACCCATTTTTAAAGGAATGACAAAAATTTTTTAACATAAAATTCATGAAAACTAAAATTTTTTTTGGTTTATATTTTGAAAGACGATAAAATTTTGAAAAGAATAAGACCTTACAGAAGTCATTTGGACAAAATTTGTAGAAGATATTCCTAAAAATCGTCATTTTCAATGTTTTACAATAGTACATTTCGTAACAAGTGTGAACTGATGGCGTTTTTGAAACGAGCGCAACGTTTTTGAAACGAGTTGTAGGCGAGGCGCCGAAGGCGCCGAGCCGGAAACGAGTTTCAAAAACTTGCGCGAGATTCAAAAAGCAGTTCACGCAAGTTACGAACGATACTTTTTATAATAAAGTCATAAAAAAATGCGTTAAAAACGAGACACCCAGATTTGTCACCAAACTAGTTTACCGATATACATTCAAACGTACAAAAACGTTTTGTCGCGCGGGGGGGTTCGGGGGGTCTCCCCCCGACGGGGTCCAGGGGCGGAGCCCCGGCCGGGGGGTTCGGGGGGCGGAGCCCCCCGACCACAAAAAAACCAACTTAAAAGAGTTAAGCCCCCCGTTCTCAAATAGCCATCTTAAAATTTTAATTATTCTGATATTTGATAAAAAAAAAAGTGAGGTTATGTTGAGGAAATGTTTTGACTAGTTTACCGTTTTAAACGGTAATAATAAATAATAATAATTTCAATAATAAAGTAGATATTATTTATTAAATATTTATATTGTTTATTAAATATTTTATTTTTATTTATAAAACTTTTTAACTTTAAATACTGCAACGGCATGTAATTATAACTTACTTTAAGTAAATAACAGTCTTAAATTTTTTTTTAAACATTATACAATTTTTTATTACTTATTATAATTTATAGTTACGTTGCAATTGTTGAGAACGAAAGATTTTTCCATTGACTCTTTCACATGGTCAAAAGTTTCCAAAGAATCATCCTTTTTTAATTTTTTGGGAGCTTTTTCGGAGTCACATTCTGAGGTTTTTTTTGTCGATCCTAAAATGGATTTAGTTATCTTTTCCGCCGTCGCTTCTTTGTGCTTAATCGATTCGTCAACGTAGCTTTGTGCTACTGTAGCGGATTTCCATCCTCCGAGTCGCTGTAAGTCTAAGGTCGTAGCTCCGGTGTCAGCATAAACGGTAGCGGAAGTCCTACGAAACGAGTGCCCTGTGAAATTCTCCGGATTTTCCAACTTCAGGAACTCAGCGATTTTTTTCGGCATGTTACCGATGGTATTGATACCAATTACTTGGTTGCTGCACTTGCCTTTATGATACTGTACAAAAAAATTGTCCCTCTTTGCCTTTGGAGGACGCAGCGCTTGATACTTTTCTACAAGTGGTACAAATCTCGAATCAATAATAAACTTGCGAGGAACTTTGTTTTTAGTGTCGGGCACGACAACTTCAAAAAGTTCTCCTTGCTTCTTAACGTGATCGACTTTTACTGCATAAATTTCTCCTTTGCGACAACATCCACTCACACCAAAAACGACGACAACCTAAAAACCAATAAAAAATGGTAGTGTATATATATAATTTTCTGAACGAAATTTTAAAACATATTTTATATTTTTTTAAACTAAAATAGTATTTACCTTATAAGCAAGATAAATTTCATCCGGTGCAGTTTCCAAAAACTGATTGATTTGTTCCGACGTGAAAATTTTTGATTTTTTGGCATGATAACCGCGTGAGTTTTGACCAATTAGTGCTGCCAGTTCCTTAAAGTTCTCGATGGAAATATTTTCGTGAATTTGGATTGTTTTTTTTAGTTTGGAATGGATGGACCAAATCGTAGTCGGTTTATATTTTTCCATGAGTGTCTTAAAGTACACTTTTAAGCAGTTTTCGGAAGTAATAGCTTTGTTCGCGCTTTTCCATTGCACAAATTTTTCGTATGTCTCTTCGTAGGCTTCTTTGGAATCTTTTGGCAATAAATCCTTCGAAATTTCCTTTGCTGCTTCGCGCATTTCAGGCGGAGTGCAATTTTCCTCATCATCCGACATTTTCTAAAAAAGACCATATTTTGTTGAAGATTAATTATTATTATTAATTATTAATTAATTATAATACTTATTTTAATTATAAAACAATTCTGTTTTAAAATTTTTTGCAATGAATATTTCATATCATAACCTAAAAATTCTAAAAAGCATTAAACAATAAAAATACAATAAAAAATCCCAAGTAAAAATAAAATATCTTTATTCAGCAATTACTCACATTTTTAATTATAAAATAAGCATGTAATTAATGGATATAAAGTTTAGATTAATAATTTTAGGTTATAA